ATAGTATGCTAGCACAAAGCTAACACTTGTGCACATGAACGTATTTTGGCCATTCTGGATTAGATACAGATATTTGAAACTTTGAAAGACATTTCGTCTGTTTTATTTGAAGATTGTGACAAATTAACATATTTTCCATTCCCATCTGCTAAAGCTTTGGGTTCACTACACAACTCAGATTATAAACAGATTAGAGAAGACTGGGCGTCTCACACTATCAGACCGGTGTTTGCATATTTTTTGGGTGACTGAAATATTGGGGATCCACACTAAACGATTAGGGATCACACACTACTCAAGTTTTAAGCTGCTGCTGAACCGAACGGAACTCAGTGAACTCACGCAAAAGGGTCATTCTACAGAAACGTCCACTTTTCTGTCTCTCCATAGGAGTCACTGGTGTTACCGATCCTCACTGGTGTTACACATAATAAAGGAACACCAGAGACATTTTTACTGAACCATGCATTTTACAAAATGGCTGCTACAGAGCATCAAACCACATGTTGTCAATCATGGAATATCCACCAAAATATGGAATTTAATCCATTTGTATTTATTTTTTCACAGTTACCTCAGAATAAAGTCGGTCACACCAGTGACTTCAGCTAAAAGCTTCATATGAAATCATGAGCTAAATGAGAAAATCTCTGATAACTGAAAGACACAGTGGACTCACCATGAGCTTTTCTTTATAGATCCTCAGAAAACAGGTAAAAGGAAGTCAAGTGATGTCATCAGTGTGACTTTTATTTCAAAATAAGAGATTTTTTGTTGCGCAGTAACACCAGTGACACGACTCCTGGGGACAACACCTTTCATTATATATTTTATAATATTTATTTGCCATTTGTTTTCTTTGTCATTTAATTTATATATTTCATAGTCCTGTATAGATTATTGTAGTTAAAATTGCAGAAAAACGTTTTTTTTTCAAAATATGGCCTCAGCCTTTACACATGACTGTGAGGACGAGCTCTTCTGTGGTGATTGGAGTTCTTGATAATTGATTTAAAAACCAATTTTGCTAAATTGAGGCTCAAGAAGGTGTAATTATTAAAATAACTTACTGTTTTATTTTAAAATATAAATAAATTGTGACCCTAACATTTTTTAAGTGTAATATATCTGTAAATGCTAGGGTCCCAAAAATGGACATTTCAGTAGAATGATCCAAATTCTTGCGTTCTCCCGTTACTAGGAAACAGTAAAGAAGCAGCAGGTAAACATGTTTAAGTGAGAATCATGGGTTTAAAAATGTGATCATTGTGGTATTTTTAGAGTTTTAAATGTACATAAACTCGATTATGCCTTAAACTCGCTTCACACGTGAGAGACTTTTCTCCTTTTTTCTTTGTTTACTTGCTGTATTTTCTTCTTTCGTGCTCTCAGTTTTCATTCGTTGTTGCAGGAATCTGTTCAGATTGAGTCGATCAGTTTACGCTAGATTACACTCAGAGTCTGCGCCCCTCAAACACGACTCTACTCTCTCTCCAACTGTCGACTCCAACTAACCCAAAGTCTGCAGACTAGAGCTGACCAGCTCAGACTCAGCCACACTGAGAATCGGGGCTAAAACGGGGTAAAAGTTGTGTGTTGTAACCCCAGCTTAACGTGTTAGACCTTCAGTCCAGCTCCTGAAGTCCTAACCAATGAGAGAGCTCGTTTGGCTGTGTTTACCTAGATGCCACAGAGTAAACAATCCTGATTGGACAGTTTTCCATTGGGCATTTTAAGATGTTTATTTACATTTTATTACTACAATACATGCAGAGTTGAAATGGAACTAGTATCAACATTATATTTAAAAAATGAACTAAAAATGACATAAGGGTGGCCACTTTATTGGAAACACCTGCCTTGTACTTCCATTCATTGGCCACTTTATTAGAAACACTGACCTTGTGCTTCCACTAACTGGCCATTTTATTAGAAACACCTTGTACTTCTACTCACTGGCCACTTTATTAGAAACACCTTCCTCATACTTCCACTCACTGGCCATTTTATAAGAAACGCCTCCCTTATAGCTCCACTATGTAGGTGTACAGTCACAGACTGTAGTCCATCTGTTGCTGTACAGTCTGTTAGTGTGTGAACCTGCTGGCCCCCTCCTGTGTGCTGTGTATGTCTATTACGGTCTGATTAAGGTCATTACTGCAGCTTTAAGGTCTGTGCTCGTCTACCGCTGCATTCTTATCAGTCTGATCTCCCTAATCCCTGATAATCTAATGACTACACACACACACTCGTGAGGATTTCAGCATAGTGTGTACAGGAGTGGGGTTTGATTCACAGCAGGTGTTTGTGTGGTGAGAAGATCTCACCCTGTCTGCTCCAGAGGAGGCTCTGCTATAGTGAATGCAGCACAGAGTGGTTATGTGGTTAAGTATGTTTTACTAAGAAACAACTTTTTAAACATTTTACTATTCAAATATGCACCTTTTTGAAGTTTTAACATTTGTTTACGGTATGCAGTGGGGGTGTGCCTTCTGAATAACTTTGTAAGCGGTTAGCTTATTATGGCTTATTATGTTTACACAGACGATATTTGTGTTAATATACATTAAAGTACCACTTCACAGATAGGCAGTAAATCATAAGGCCTTTTATGAAGGCCTAGAAATACCTCCCTTCTACTTCCTCTCACTGGCCACTTTATCAGAAACACCTACATTGTGCTTCCAGTCACTGGCCACTTTATTAGAAACACCTTGTGCTTCTACTTACTGGCCACTTTATCAGAAACACCTACCTTTTACTTCTACTAACTGTCCACTTTATTAGAAACACTTGACTTGTGCTTCCACTCACTGGCCACTTTATCAGAAACACCTACGTTGTGCTTCCACTCACTGGCCACTTTATTAGAAACACTTGCCTTGTACTTCCAATCACTGGCCACTTTATCAGAAACACCTTGTGCTTCTAGTTACTGGCCACTTTATCAGAAACACCTACCTTTTACTTCCACTAACTGTCCACTTTATCAGAAACACCTACGTTGTGCTTCCACTCACTGGCCACTTTATCAGAAACACCCACCTTTTACTTCCACTAACTGTCCACTTTACTAAAAGCACCTTGACAGCTTTTCTACATATATATCACTGCTATCAGAAAAAAAAACCTCGTATCTCCTAAATGGTAACTTTACAGGAGAAGACAAAAACCAGAGTTTTTTCCAAGTAATTTTTGGCCGTTTCTTTTGGTCCATTCATCATGAAATTTACATACAATGTAAAGAGCGACAGGCATTTTCAAATTATGTCAAAAGCTGAAAAACGACAAAAATGGACATACAAGGTTTTCTTCCGACAGCAGCGATATTGTCAGTGTATAGTAGCACTTCACAAATCGGTAATAAGTGGGTAAAGATAGTGTTATGATAACAATGATTCAGCATCATTGATTCTTATCTGCCACCTGTTCCGTTAACCGCCATGGGACTAGGCTAAAGGCCTTGTGCGGGCTGCAGAAATCCCCTCCTCACCCGACAGGCATGTTTGTGGGTATGTTCACATAAGAAGCAGTAAACTGACAAAAATAAAGCATTACAGCTCCACATGAGCGCTGCATATTTGGTACCCACTGAGTGACGTTTTGACTGAGTGTCTGTGAGGGGGATGTTTCTGTTCAGTTGACTGGGTGTAGTAGCAGATGCAGTGGGTCTTTTGGCTCTGAGCTCTGCAGACGAGCCAAGAGACTGGATATTATCCTCCCAGTGTCTGGCTGCATCTCTCACAGTCCTTAATGTCTTACTGACACCTGCTGGTGAAGAGGAGTATCTACACTACAGTTGGTTCTGTAACCACTGCTCTGTACATTTTAGTGTTTTTTCCTGCTCCAATTCACCTGATTCAGCTCATCAGCTTTAAGAGCTGACTAACAAGCAGGAAAGCACCAAACTGTGTAATGTAGAGAGTCATTAGAATTGAGAGTAGCTTCATCTAGAGAACACTTTGACTAAGGCTACGTTTACACAGCAGGTAAAAGTGGCCCAAATCTGATCTTTTTCCTTAGATGTGACACAGATGCGTGTCTGTGTGTCAGTGTGAACAGCAAAAAACACATTGAATCTGACATTTTCAATTCCGATATGAGACGCTTTCATATGTGGTACTGAAATCCAATACGTATCCGATCTGCGGCAATGTGACTCAGTCTGAACAACCAGATCGGAATTCATGCGACTTTTACGTCAATCCAACTCGATATTAGTCATAATTTCGTGCTGCTGAGACTCATAAACATTTAGGCTGATATTTCTGTACCAAAAAATTAGAAGAGACTCATCAAACTGCTCCGTGTTCGAAGAGGTTTCAAACGAAATGGCCGAACGCGGCCGGAGGAGCCCGAGGCTGCAGCGTCAGAGAACAGTTTAAAGAAGTGGCCGTGGCCGAATAATGAGCGCTTTTTTCGGCGAACTCAAACACACTGTGGGTGATGAGTCCAGCTGTCAGTCATTGGAACTTTAGAACCGCTCCTGTGATGCTGGCGAAGGTGAAACTGAAAGCTCCGGGAGTGACAGGCGTTCGCTGGCCGTCATGATTGTTTACCTCTGGACGAGCCGCCATGTGAAGCATTATTCTTTTTGTGCATGCCGGTCGGTCTGACGTCGCATACAGGTCACATTTAAAAGATAATGTGAACAGCCAAACAAAAAAAAATCGGATTTGGTGAGAAAATCAGATTTGGGCCACGTTTACCTGCTGTGTAAAAATAGCCCAAGAGTGTACTTCTGGCCTCCTGTCCTTCTTGTTTTGGCTTCTGTCCCACAAAGTATGTTCATCTTTGAAGTTTCAGCTTCACTAAACTTAACAGTTTCTCTGTTAAACCAGGTTTAGATACTCAGGCTGTGATTAATTAACAGCCTGTCTTGTGAAAAATGAAGATGATCTATTTCTTTTTAAAGAGGGCAAAAGCAACACTCTACAGTCTCCACTGCCACAGGGAGGTGTGTCTAACTGTGCATCTGGACATTTTTCTTTTTTTTTTAGCTCTCCTGTCTTCCTGGAGTGAAGAGCTGGGTCGGCTTCTCCTTCTGAGGCACCAGAGGAACAGACAGAGTGACCCTACAGCAGGAAAAAACACCATACAGCCCAGCATGAACAGCCTGAAACCAGCACTCAACCACGGGTCAGCCTCACACATATTCACAGACACATACAAACCCATGGGTTTTAGGTGTTTTTTAAATAATTTTGGCAGGTTTCAACAAACTACCAAGACCCAGTACCCCAACAGAGTATTGAGACCCAAAACCCTGATAGAGTACCAAGACCCAATACCCCAACAGAGCACTAAGACCTGAAACCCTGACAGAGTACCAAGATCCAGCACCCCAACAGAGTACTGAGACCCAAAACCCTGATAGAGTACCAAGACCCAATACCCCAAGAGAGCACTAAGACCTGAAACCCTGACAGAGTACCAAGACCTAGTACCCCAACCGAGTACTGAGACCCGAAACCCTGACAGAGTACCAAGACCCAGTACCCCAACCGAGTACTGAGACCCGAAACCCTGACAGAGTACCAAGACCCAGTACCCCAACAGAGTACTGAGACCCAAAACCCTGACAGAGTACCAAGACCCAATACCCCAACAGAGAACTGAGACCCGAAACCCTGACAGAGTACCAAGACCCAGCACCCCAACAGAGTACTGAGACCTGAAACCCTGACAGAGTACCAAGACCCAATACCCCAACAGAGTACTGAGACCTGAAACCCTACCAAGACCCAGTACCCCAACAGAGTACTGATACCCAAAACCCTGACAGAGTACCAAGACCCAGCACCCCAACAGAGTACTGAGACCTGAAACCCTGACAGAGTACCAAGACCCAGTACCCCAACAGAGTACTGAGACCTGAAACCCTGACAGAGTAGCAAGACCCAATACCCCAACAGAGTACCAAGACCCAGTATTCCAACAGAGTACTGAGACCCAATACTCCAAAAGTGTACTAAGGCCCGATACCCAACAGATCACCAAGACCCAGTATTCCAACAGAGTACTGAGACCCAATACTCCAAAAGCGTACTAAGGCCCGATACCCAACTGATCACCAAGACCCAGTTTACGAAAAGAGTACCAATACTTAATACCCTAACAGATTACCAAGACCCAATACCCCAACAGAATACCCAGACTGAATTCCCCTGATAGAGTACTGAGACCCAGTACACTGACAGAGTAGCAAGACCCAATACCCCAACAGAGTGCCGAGACCCAATACCCTGATAGAGTACTCAGACCGAATGCCCTGACAAAGTACCAAGACCAGATACCCTGACAGAGTAGAGACAGAATACCCAACAGACTAGCAAGACTGAATATACCAACAGAGTACTGCGACCAAATACCTGATAGAATAACAAGATTGAATGCCTGACAGACCAAAGAGACCGAATACCTGACAGAGTACTGAGACCCAATACCCCAACAGAGTACTGAGACCCAAAACCCCAACAGAGGACTGAGACCCAATACCCTGACAGAGTGCAGAGACTCAATACCCTGACAGATTACAGAAACTCAATACCCTGACAGAGTACTGAGACCCAATACCCTGACAGAGGACTGAGACCCAATACCCTGACAGAGTACTGAGACCCAATACCCTGACAGAGTAGCGAGACCAAAAACCTGACAGAGTACCGAGACCCAATACCCCGACAGAGTACCAAGTACTCACACACATACTACAACAAATAACCCCCAGTATCAGTTAAAAATCCCTTTTTATATGGAAGTTAGATTACAACTCTTTAACATATTACTACAGTTCTAGATACAACTTTTCTGTCCACATTCTGCTTCTGTCTCTGTCTCTGCAGCGACGGCTCTTATCCATACGACTCTGTCCCCTGGCAGCCGAGCACCAATCAGGCACCTGGGTCGGTCTCTGTGGTCACCACAGTCTGGGGGGTGAACAACACATCCCAGGGTCAGGTAAGTCCATCACTTAAAAATCAAACTTCCACAGTCCCCCCCCTTATGGGTCGAGTAGCCCAAATATGCTTGGTTTCTGAGGTTTGCTATTTCAGTTTTAGCACTGACGTGGTGGTGGTGTGTTAGTGTGTGTTGTGCTGGTACGAGTGGATCAGACACAGCAGTGCTGCTGGAGTTCTTAAACACTGTGTCCACTCACTGTCCACTCTATTAGACACTCCTACCTTGTCACTCCACCTTGTAGATGTAAAGTCAGAGACGATAGCTCATCTGCTGCTGCACAGTTTGTCTTGGTCATCCTCTAGTCCATCATCAGTGGTCACAGGATGCTGCCCACAGGACACTGGATATTTGACTGGATATTTTTGATTGGTGGACTATTCTTAGTCCAGCAGTGACACTGAGGTGTTTAAAAACTCCAGCAGCACTGCTGTGTCTGATCCACTCAGACCAGCGCAACACACTCCACCACGTCATTGTTACTGCAGTGCTGAGAATGGTCCACCACCCAAATAGTACCTGCTCTGTGAGGGTCCATGGGGGTCCTGACCACTGAAGAACAGGGTAAAAGGGGGCTAACAAAGTATGCAGAGAAACAGATGGACTACAGTCTGTAACTGTAGAACTACAAAGTGCACCTATATAGTAAGTGGAGCTGATAAAATGGACAATGAGTGTAGAAACAAGGAGGTGGTCAGAATGTAATGCCTGATCGGTGTACAACGTCAAGAAAAAGTATGTGAACCCTTTGGAATTACCTAGTTTTCTGCATTAATTGGTCATAAAATGTGACCTGTTGTTCATCTAAATCACAAGTATAGACACAATCTGCTAAAGCTAACAACACACAAACAATCTCGTCTTTATTGTGCACACCAACTAAACATTCACAGTCCTGGTGGAAAAAGTAAGTGAACCATTGGATTTCAACCTCTTTTGACTGCAATAACCTCAAGTAAGTGCTTCCAGTGGCTGCTGATGACTTTATATACATTGGTATTTCTAATACAGTGCGTAGATATAAAGGGTAGGTGTTTCCGATAAAGTGGCCAGTGAGTGGGAGCACAAGGTGTTTAGAATAAAGTGAATGGAGAGTGTATAGTAACTTTACTGGCTGTGTGTGGGTGTTTAGGTGTTGGGGAACCCCATGGGGAATCCCAGCCCCCATATGAACCCCGGAGGTAACCCAATGGCAGGCGGCATGACGGGCCCTATGAACCCAGGTCCATTTCCTGGGCAACAGCAGCAGTTCTCCAAGGCTGGGGCCGGTGAAGGATACATACAGCAGGGCATTTATGGCAGATCCACTTACCCCGGGGCAGGAGGGTATGGAGGCAGGTCAGTGGCTGGGAATGGGCACATCATACTGGGATATAATGGAATGTCCCCCTATATTAATATGATTTTATATATATGTGTGTGTGTGTGTGTGTGGATGTTAAAGCCCTTCTGTAAATGGGGGTGAGTAAACTAACTCTCTCTCTCTCTGTAGTTACGCGGGAGGTCCTAATGGTATAAATCCAAACTCCCGCCCTCCTTCTGATTTCAGCCAACCAGCTGCTGCTGCCGCTGCTGCTGCTGTTGCTGCTGCAGCTGCCACGGCAACGGCCACCGCCACGGCAACAGTCGCCGCCCTGCAGGAGACCCAGAATAAGGACATGAGTCAGTATGGACCGGTGAGAGAGCTCCACACACACACACACTCACACACACACACACACAAATTTGTTTGGACAGAAATGGAATAAATAGACCACCCTGATCTACATTATTTGTTTTTACAAATGGCAAACAAAATACAAACATTCAGGAGAGAAAGATGGAGATACATTTTAGCAGCTCATTTTGTGTACAAACATCTCAAGGCATTACACTTTTAATTATGTAATAAAGTCAGTTTGCCAACAATCAACAAAACACAGCTTGGTTACTGTTCAGTCACAGCCCTCTGCAGAACCTCGAGGCATGGCTGTTGACTTACTTTCACTTAGAAAATCAACAAAACATGGAATTTGACCAGGAGCCCACAACATTATGTGCACTATCTCGCCAAAAGTATGTGGACACCCAAGCATCACACCCTTATAAGCTTGCTGAACGTCCTGTTCCAAAACCATGGACTTGAATATGGAGTCGCGCCCCTTTGCGACTGTAAGTGCTTCCACTCTTCTGGGAAGCTCTTTACAAGATGTTGGAGCGTGTCTGTGGGAGTTTGGGCCCTTTCAGTCAGTAATGATTTGGACGAGAGGGCCTGGCTCACAATCGACATTCCAGTTCATCCCAAAGGTGTTCAGTGGGGTTGAGGACAGGGCTCTGTGCAGACCACTGGAGGTCCTCCACTTCAAACTGGTCAATCCATGTCTTTATGGAGCTGCTTTGTGCACAGGGGTTCAGTCATGCTGGAAAAGGAAAGGCTCTTCCCCAAACTGCGGACACAAAACTGGTAGTGTATAACTGTGTAAAATTTGTGCTGTAGCATCAACATCACCCTTCACTGGAACTAAGAGCCCAAACCCTGAAAAACAGCCCCAGCTCATTATCCCTCCTCCACCAAACTTTACTGTTGACATTATGCATTTTGGTAGGTAACGTTCTCTTGGCATCATGAAGCTACTGATGAATAGTTCTTGTGCTGATGTTGCTTTCAGAGGCAGTTTTGTACTCTGTAGTGAGTGATGTGTAATTTGTAGCTTCAGCACTCGCAGCCCTGCTCTGTGAGTTTGTGTGGTCTACCACTTCGTGGCTAAACTGTTGTTCCT